TTCATTTTTTTATTTTTGTAAAAAGTCTTAATATATTTTTTAAAGTTTTGATGTACCTATCGATTAAAGTTGGTCTATGTGTAGGGGGTGTGGGGGGCTTTACCTCCCATGGCCCTGTGATGTATTCACAGATTTAGCACCCCTCGTTTTAGAGATCTAGTTGCGCCTATGGATAGTGGTCTTTCACTGGTCCTTGAGATCAATTTAGCGCGTTTAAGTATGAAAATTTCTGACAAAATATTAAAAATGTATTAAAAACTCTAGGCATCAGTTATCAGCTATTTATAACCACATATTTGAACAAAATAATCAATTGAAATCTATCAATACTTAAACAATTATAAATAAAGAAATGAAGTATAACCCTTTATTATATATGATCCTACTATAACTTTATGTGAACAAATTAGAAATTTATGTTTTATCGTTCTATCAAAGAAAAAGATAACTGATAGGTAACGAATTRATGAAAATTGAAAAAATTAAAAATTTTCTTATTATACTAGCTAATATTATGTTAGGAGTGATTAAATAAATTAATACCTTAGGTACTAACGCATTCTAATCCTATTAAATCATATATGAATGATTGTTTTTGGTGGGAATCAAAATATAACTGTTCCTTTTCATCAGTGGTGGTTTATTTTAACGATAGGCTTGTGTACAAAACCAAAAAAAAAACCCCTTATTATTTTCATTCTAAATAATAAAGATATGAATGATATGATGCATATATTCAAATTTAAAGTAAGAATTTTTATCCCAAAATTATTAAATCTATGCAACTCCACAAGTACTTTCTATTTTTATTAAAATGTCAATTGCATAAAAAGTAAGATAAAATTACATACAAATAAAATAACATAATATATCTATTAATAATGATAGGTAACAATAATATGTAGCTCGATGGCTGAGGGATTTATTTTTATTGGTAATAAAAAAAAAGTGATAAGCATATAATAAAAATAATTTGATGGAAATTTCAATTGCATGCTTTTTTACTTCAAAATTATTAATTATTTCTCTTAAGCGAGCTCGGTCGTTTTCAAAGGATAAAATTTCAATTCCACTTAATCTTTTTTCACAAATTGTGCTCCATAAATAATTTTAAATAWTAACGTTCAGCTGTAGCAACTGTTACAGAAAAACGTCAAAAATAACATACATGCTTTACATATTTCAGAAAATGTTGCGAATGTAGGGTTCTCTATGGACTATAACAAATATTTCAGTAATTGCTATTATCGATGTTCGCTTTATAATATCTTCTTAAAAAGATCAATCAGAATCATAATATTCTGCTAATTTATTAGCAGAGTTATAAATTTGTTTGTCCATTAAATTAATCAATGAATTCGGTTGAATAACTTCAAATATTTTGAATATGTTATTTAAACTGGTAAAACGTTCTTTTAATTATATTATTGCATTATCCTATGTTAAGGAAATTATATTTATTATAAAATGTTCTTCTGCTGAATTAAAGCAATAATCTTTGAGGATTTTGTCATAAAATTGTTTTACTCTTCGGTTTCTTTTTTCATGAAATGTTTGTGATGCACCCTATTTTTTATGCGATTTCTACTGCTATTTCGAAAAAATCACTGTATTCATGAAAATTTATCAACGCAGAACTAAACAAAAAAACTATTGCTTGTTTAGGACTTTAGGAGACAGAAGAACTTTTGATACAAAATTTAGTTTTCAGAATTTTGACAAAATTACACTGAATATAAATTAAATAATCTTTCATAATATGTAATTTTAAATAATTTGTTGCAAATATTTGTATTTATTTCATTTGAGAACCATTTGAAATTGGAAACAATTTTTCATACATAACTGTATTTATTTAATTTTATTGTGGAACCTTCAGCAATATTGGACCACCCAAATTGAGACACCGTGGCATTTGCACACATGTATAATACACCACTGCCTTTCATTGCATCAATTTAAATAATAAATGTGGTAATAACACTACTACACAAAAATCATTAAATTTAAAATATTTTTAAATTTGGAAATTCATTTTATTCTTTATTGATATTTGTTGACATTTTTAATATCCCTAATTTTGACGTTTCTATAATGAGTATTGCAACATTCAGAAGTTTTTATTTATTTATTTATAATAATCACTAACATTAAATTATTCATATATCATGTATACCCTAAATAAACAATTGTTTTGTAGATTTCAATACCTGTGTATTCATTTTTGCTATATTTAACATGTACATTTATATAAATAAGTATACTTTTGATTGTTTCTTATTATATATACAATTCATTTATTTCATTGTTTCTATTAAATTGATATATTATATTTCACTTTTTACTCGTATTTTAATTCACACATATTTTATTAAACCAACGACTTTATGATTGACAGTAATATTGATCTTAAATATGTCATAGTATTGTACTATTGTGGTATCATAATCGATATCGCCATATCAGTATATGATGGTAAAAGTGTATAATTAAAATATATTTCCAGGGTACAGCAAAATGTATATAACATTAATGATTACAACATTGAACCTATAGAGATTATTCGAATACCTTTATTATAATATATACCTAGTACCTACTTTGATAATAGTGTGAATACCAATTAAAACTAACATTAAATTATTAAAAATAACATTTCTATTTCCTTGTGATGTTGTGCTACATGATCGTTAGATTATTAATATTCAAATTAGTTTTTAAAAAACATATACATTTTATAAAGATACAGTCTTTTGAACACCAGAGAACACAATTTTAGTATTCTTAAGCAGTTGAGCACGGACTTGGAAATATAAAAATACGACAACGAACACCATCTACTGCCTGCTTACATCTTGCACTCTCACATGGACAACTACCATCACATTTATTACGATTCCAATCTTTAATTTTCATTACGTACGTTTAATACTTTTATTGTGTAAATGTATTATTATCATGTTTCATGATTCATAATAATTATGCATTGGAACTAAAGAGAATTAAAATGAAAACAAAATATATGATCAGTATCAAAAGAGACGCAGATTGCGATCGATAATGTA